CACACATTTCACAGAACCTGCCTCTCAACTACATCGGTGCTGAGATGAGCAGTTTCAGGTGGCAGAGTCGGTACAGGAATCACTGCTCGTAGGCTGTTAGCAAGGCACCATGGGATATGTAGTCTTTAGAGATTGAAAGTAAACCGCAGAGGAGTAGCTGCAAAGCATGCAGAGAATCCTGGAAGTTATGGTAAGAAATGGGCAGGAGTCAGGCAGAACTCACAACATGAAAGGAGATTTTTCAAGTAAACTGGATTGTCAAAATGACTATTGTTTGTATTGTAGTTACAACGCTGGTGTTATAAAATGAAAGTGTATGCTGTAACCATGGATTTGACATGAAATGAGGGAAGCAGATGTCAAAGGGACAGACACTAAAACATAAAAAAATTATAGAGCAGCACTGGGAATTCTTACAAAACAATGATCTCCGGGTCACTGGGAGTTCCCTTCATCCTTCTTGCTGGCCCTCCAATTAGTATACTGGATGCACACTGTGCTCAAAGGATCTCACCTTGGAGGACAAAAAGCTGAAATTAGTGGAGGCTTTGTGCTCTACCCCAACAACTGACCACTGGTGCACACTTGTGAAGACAGCATGTGGGATGGGGGGTGCAGTAGAGATAAAGGAAATGGGGAGAGGCAGACTGGGCTGTTTCTGGATTTAATTGCCTATGTATATCCCATTTGTTGCCCGAGTATTATCACAATTGCCCATTTGTTTCCTTTGTTTGGCTGCAACTGCCATTTGTTCTCAGAAGCTGGCAGCAACATCCAGCTTATTAAATGTGTGTAATGGCGTTTATGGGCATACAGCACTTACAAGCCCATGAGCTTAGATTTATTTATTTGGTGACTATAATACTCATTTATTCACTTTATTATCCACTAGAATGAATCTATGCACCTACTTGTGCTTGTTTAAACATTTTTAGGCACATATGTGTTTAAATTACACCAATACGCTCTAGAATGTAGGTTTTGGTAATTTTTAAGCCCACTGAACCCTGGTCTAGAATACAAATGCCATATTGAGCATTAACACATTGCCTTTAATAGAGCTGGGTTTAGAGCCCCCCCCCAAAAAAAAGCCATACACATCTGAAAGAGCATGCATGAGCCCTTACAGGCTGCAGTAGTCTGTATGGCGCATTCACATTGACTGTAATGTGATCATATAAGTGGTAATTAAGGGCCAACATTTTGGGCCACCCAAACATTAGACCCTGAAGTTGTGACATCTACTTTGCTCCCTGTAGTTATTCCTAACATTTAGTGTCATTTAAAATGTAATTTTTAAGCAAGAACCCCATCAAATATCTAGTCATGGGGTACCCTGCAAGAGTAAGAGACTGACAATTGTCTGATAATTGAATTCCTAGGGGAAAAAAAAAGTTTGCATGCCCATACACTAGCGGCTGTTGTCACCTTCAAAGCAGTCCCCTTTGTGAAGCAACTCACTGTACCAGACGACTGTGCCACTGCTGGAAACAATGCTGGAAGTTGTTTTCTGGGATGTAGTATCTTTGTCGTGGTGCGCTGCGTGTCTGGAGTGTCATCAAATCTGTCTCCTTTTAAGGCATTTCTAATTTTTGAAACAGCCAAAAGTTGCAGGGTGCTAAGTCAGCGAAAAAAAAAAAAAAAAAAAAGTTTTGGAATGGATTTTCAAGAACACTTCATGCAGGAGCATTGTTGCAGTGGAGCATGTGCAGGAGCATTGTCGTGGTGGAAAATCCACTTGTCAGGCCAGAGTTCTTGTCTTTTCTTTCAAATAGATTTGGTTTGCACTCTGTCCACATTTGCTTCAATCCTTTGTGTTTTTTGCTGCCCACTTCTTGTGTCATCATGGACATCTTCCCGCCCCTCCTTAAACCACCTATGCCCTTCAAAAACACTTGATTTTGTACTGTTGCCAATTATCAGATTGGCACAAAATTCCTGTCACTCATTTTTTACTAACAGCGCAACGCACACAAGTGTCATTTCTACTACTCTGTAACAACTGAGTCAACTGGTCTACAACCTGGGCGAGTGCAAATTAGAATATGTCAGAACACTCTCAAGTGTGAATGGCTGCGTGGCTCACCACCATAGTGCTGCGCCACGACCATTCCAGTACCTAAATTGTCACATCTCTTACAGTTTACATATGTGGCCATACGTGAGTCATTTTCTTTCGTTCAATCTGCTGGTTAAACGAAAGAAAATGACTTGATTCCATCATCCACACACTAGATGTGGATGGGGGAATCCCTCATGCTGAGCCTTTGTATTTTGACAGTGGAGAGATTTCTCCACCATCAGAATGCGCACAAATCAGCACCACTATAGCCAGCAGCACTGATAGAGAGAACATTGTCTAATGGGCTGGTTGTACGGCTGCTGCACCGGCCAAATTTCAATCCATTTAGAGCTGGCTTAAAGTAGAACTATAGGCAAAAATTTTGTTTCATTTTGGATAGAGCATGGGAGGGTTATAACCCCCTCAATTTTTTTTCACCTTCTGTGTCCCATTGCAGAGGTTTTACCTTCACTTCCTGTCCCATAGCCAAACAGAAGTGAGAAGAAATTCCTTCAAACTAATGGAATTCCTTGGGGACCCTCAGATGACCAGAACTAGTGTCCCCATTGGAAGATATCCCCTCTATTACTTTTCTGGGGACAACCCAAAATTTTGGATTTTCTTTTACTTTCAACGATAATGGACAACTAGAGAGGGTGAATCTCCTTAACGGGGGCACAGACAGTAATAAAAACTGACCAGCGTTCTAATCCCTGTCCACTCTATCCAAAACTAACCCCCCCCAAAAAAAAAAAAACTGTTTTGCCTATAATTATACTTTAAGGCCCAGCCTTTTAATAGAGATTTACAAAACTAAACATCTTATAATGGCTGCAAATTGTTTTTTAAGATTGTTCTGGAACAAAGAATAAAATGTTTCCTTCCTCATGTGTAACGACAATGGCATGTTTGGCATGCTGTCATTAAAACTTAGCAAACCATGGAGTAAATAATTAATTGGCTGTGCAGTTATGACCACAAAGTAAGCACATATTCTAGTGAACACGGACACAGGTCAACTTGCTACTCACTGTCAGATTTGGTCCCACATATTGCTGGTAAAAATTTACCAGGCGTGATGATTGAGAATCATCAATTTTTCATTTTCTGTTATTTAACCCTAAAAACTAAAATATATTTCAGCTTACCAGTCCTTGGATGTGGTGGCTACATTAATTTTCTGTTTTTTTACCTGGTGATCCTGCCTGTAACACATTTCCTTTCCTGGAGGAGAAGCATTGACACTCTAGGCCTATGGTCTCCAAACTGCTCCCCTTTGCCTGCCTTTATCCGGCCCTTGAAGCACTGTTCTTCCCACTTACACCAACTATGAAACGCTATTAATTCTATTAGCACCAATTATAGGGGGCTATTCCTCCCACTGACACCACCTATGATGCACTATTCCTTCTACTGACACCATCTATGGGTACTATTCCTTTCACTGACACCAACAATAGGGCATAATTCCTCCCACTGATATAAATGATGAAACACTATTCCTCCCAAAGAAACCAAAGAAGGGGCATTATTCCTCCCACTGACACCAAAAGGGGCACTATTCCTCCTACTAATACCAAAGGGGCACTATTCCTCCACTACTAATTTCTCCCACTAATACCAATGATGGGGCACTGTTCCTTCCACTGACAACAAAGAAGGGGAACTATTTCTCCCACTGATACCAATGATGGGGCACTTGTCCTTCCACTGACACCAATGATGGAGAACTATTCCTTCCACTGACACCAACAATGGGATGCTATTCCTTCCACTGATACCAAAGACGGGGCACAATTCCTTGCACTGATACAACAATGGGACGCTATTCCTTTTCCAGACAAAGTATGAGGCATTATTCCTCCTCCCACTGTATCCCATCTTGAGGCATTGTTTACTCCACTAACAATGGGACATTTTCAACTCCCACTGGCCACAGTCCACCCCCCCAAAGTCTGAAGTACTGTAAACTGCTCCTTTGTTAGAACGTTTGTTGACCCCTTCTCTAGGCAGTGTGTTCCTGTTGAGCTCCATAATACCTCTCCCACTTCTCCATACCAGATAAGAGGTGTTCTGTAGTCCACAGAAGAATAATGGGAAGAACTGATCCCACTGCTAACCTAAAACAGTTCAGCAGGTTGAGTTTGCAGGAAGCTAATGACTCACTGTTCTGCAAAGAAACCAATCGGCTTCTATTTTTTGGTCAAAGCTTAATTGAACAAGCTGAAGTTAGACGTTGATTGGCTGCCATACATAGTTACACCAGATCTTGATCTCTCCAGGTTTGGTAAATCAACTCCACTGAATATTGGACAGACCGAAAGGGAGCAAAAAGAGAAGCTCATTGTTAGATTTTGCACACACTTTAAAATAGAACTTAAGGGAAATTTTTTTTTATAATTTTGGATAAGTAAGGAAGGATCCTAATCTCTTTCCGTTGGGGAGATTTTCCTTCACTTCCTGTCACATAGCCGAAAAGGGAAAGCAAGGGAATCCCTTGTCATCATTAGTCACCAGAACTAGTGTCCACATCGGAAAATTTCCCCTCTATTGCTTTTCTGGGGACAGCCCAAAATTTGGGATTTTCTTTTACTGTCACTTTCAAAGATAATGGTAAACAGGACAAACGGAGAGAATGAATCTCCCTAACGGGGGCACAGACTGCTCTAAGAACCTAACAGGTGTTCTAATCCCTCTCCACTCTATCCAAAATTAAAAACTGTTTTGCCTTCAGTTACACTTTCAAAATGTAGCCTCTTTGCTTAGATGAGCATAGCAATCTCCCATTAGTATCAAATACATATCAAATGTATTGAATTGTACATTTTAGTATGCTACATTTCCTTTCTTTCCAGTATTAAGTATTGATCACCAAATTTTTTGTTCTGTCATAAAGGATTTTAAACACAAAAGGCTGGAATTTTGACCGCAGTTAGCGATGAGCGTGCTTCCTCCAGTTCGCCGAGACCGGATAGTGGCAGAGCTGCCTCAGGTACGCATGATAATTGTGATATTGTGACATAATAATTGGAGCCCCACACTTCTGACCCCTCTGTGCACAATATAGGATGCAAATCTGGCCATAGATGGATTAAATGTGAGATGGTTCCTGTTGAATAGGCTGCCATCTTCTCAGTAGGTGGCCCTGACAGTCCCCTCCCTACCCTTCATCCTTCAATTGAATAATCAAATTGTGTGTTGAACACGCTTTGGCTACTTGCACATTATAGTAACACGTGAACAGGGCCGTGGATAAGGGGGTACAACCAGTCCTTCTGTATGGGGCCCAGGCCAGCAGAGGGGCCCAGGCAGCTGGGTGAATTGGATGTGGGCAGAGAGGGTGATCGGTGCAGTGGGGGGGAGGGGGGGGGGACAATTACTGGAACCGATCCCCTGTATGTCTCTCTGTGCAGCAGCTAAAGGCTGGCTTCTTCTCTGGTTTTCAGCTGCTGCAGAGAGAGCCATAAAGGGAATTGGTTCCAGTAATACCCCCCACCACACCCATCACGCTCCCTACGCACCATACATTTCCCCCTGCTGCCCAGGCCCCCGTGTGCCACCACCCCTACAGTGCTGCCGGCTTCCCTCCTCTCCTTTCCAACGGCAGCTGTAAGCACACAACAGGATCCTTCAGGAAGGAGAGTGGGTGAGGAAAGGGTCCTGTAAATATGTCACATTTACCAGCCCTTTCCTTTCCTGAATGAGCACAATGAGTGATTGGTACTGATCACTCACTGTGTTCTTTCATAACTAAAGCATAGTAAGCATAGTCAACTGGGTTTTTTGGTTTTTTTTTTGGAGGGGGGCCCTGTCAGGTTGGCTGTATGGGGCCCTGTGGTTTCTAACAGCAGCCCTGCCTGTGAATTCATGTAAAATCGTGATTTTGCATGTGTGTACAAAAAAATGGTAAAATGCATGTCATGATGCATTTCCATTTATTGTTAATGGAACACGGGAAGTAATAAGTGTGTTTTTGCATGCAGACAAATTTGTGTCAAATGCAGCAAAACCTCAGAAAAAGGCGCATAAACGTCTTTGCTACATTTACCGTATAAAATTCCCATTGCACATGATCCTGAAAAAGGCCAAAGAGTAAGCAAGTGCTGTAGCAGATAGCACCTGGAGACACCATGAAATTATATATTGCCAGCACGCCATGGATCGTCAGAAATAATGTGCAAACGTTTACTGAGAAGATCACACCACAATGGTAAAGTGCAACATTTCTGGGTCATAAAGGACCCCTTCATCAGGCATTTGATGATGGGGTGCTTACATGCATTACAATGGGGTTCTCACATGCCTGACGAAGGGGTCCTGCACGGCCCTGAAATGTTGCACCTTACCATTGTGAAATGTTCTTCTCAATAAATGTTTGGATGTTATTTTTGACAATGCACGCTGTGCTGGAAATATTGACTTTGATTATATGCCACATTTGCCGTGTGCAGGAAAGCCCATTGAAATGAACGGCTGCCCTATGCATAAAGCACAACAACACGTAAAAATCTCGCCTATGCGCGATGCCTGACATCGTCTACCATAATGGGAATAGGGGCTTCAGAGAATTTTGACAGCTGCCAGAGTGGGTGATTTATCCATCCATGCTGTGTAGTGTGGATACAGGAATCTGTTATTATTGGTTGGAATCTGATGATTATGGCCATACAGAGCTCCTCCCCCACACAAAAAAAAAACATGGAGTATGCTATGTTTAGACATCAGTGTTGATGATTGGGCTGGCATAGGGATAACTGGAGACTAAAGCTGGTTAAATAAACTGCAGAGCTCAATCTCAGTCCCGTAAAGACTGAGATTGAGCTCTGCGGTCACTTTTACAGCAGTTGTTCTCTTATTCCAGGTCACAATGTCCTTTTGTCTCTTTCGGTAAGTTGACCATATCAGCTGCACTTAAGCTTATCAGACAACATTTTCCTGGAAACTGTATACGTCATCATAACCTTTGATACTGTACCTCACGACATGACAGATAAATTGGCAACTTCAGTCACAGAGGCACAGCTTAGTGGGCACTAACAATTTGCCCTCTTTGAAGCTCAGTAAGCTCTGACATGACTCAGTATTAATAGCAGCGCACGCAGTGAGTGACGAAAGTGAGGCTTCCCACCTGTTAGCTAGGTGTCTCATCACACAGCAGAAACAAAAAATGTTACATCACATCCGCTTTCAGCGCAAAACATGTTGTCAGTTTCACACCTGCAAATCATGTAGTGTTTCCATTTTTTGTCTAACCCCTGTATGTATGTATATATATATTTCTTGGGTTGATATTTACAAACAACATAACCTTGATGACCTCCCATGCACACAATGAACCTCTACTTTGCTCCTCCACTGCCTATTCCCTCCCCCATTACCCTGTGTACTAGCACTGAGGCAATCTGCAATTATAATGAATCTCTGCCCTAATGAGTCACTGTATTAGACATGTAGGGTTAGCCCCAGAGGCACTCTTAAGAGACTTTTTTTCAGACAGTTGGGTTTAAGATGAGGATAGAAGTATGTGTCGGATTGCAACATAATGACATGTTAGGAAATAAAAGATGAATAATTTCTAGGATTAATTACTGTACATAGTAACATTCAGTCATTTAAGGGGAATTCTCACTGTAGAGCAGTTTGCTAAGTGCAGAAGCCCATAGCAGCCAGTCAGAAAATATCTTTTTTTTTTTCTGCTAATTGGTTAATGTGCTTTACAAATGTGTTTTTTTCACTGGCCTACTGTTTGTAGTTTTTTTAATGAGGTATAGAAAAAGAAGGGAAGCAGACCTGTGTGGATAACGGTCTCTACCATGTCACTGGGTTTTACTGCTAGAACATCCCTTATTATAGAGACACTGAAGTTTTTTTAATTAAATAGACTAGTGTACTTTAAATGAAAACCACATTCACATTAGAAACTTGTTTGAGAAAAAAAATGGCCTTCCTGCTCCTCTGAATTTTGTCATCACTGTGGTTGAAAATAAATATTGATTTGAAGTCACTAAAGGAAACTCAAACAAAATAAAAAATAAAAACATTCCATCAAAAATGACAAGTGTATGGGCAAATTTACTATTGTACTTTAAAGGGATAGTTCACATTTAATGACTTTTGCGAAAAACCAAATTTTTTTAAAAGCTTACGTTTTTATCTGCTCATTTCATTGCCCTTCCGTCTCCATCCACTGGATGTGAGACCCCAAGAAATTCATGAATGGGCACCCAGCTCTTTTCCCTACCAATGCATACGCAGTCTGCTCTCCCTTGCAAAGAGGTCACTCAGAAGACAGTTCAATAGCAAAGCCAAGTAATACACCAGATAATTAACTATACTGGAATGCAAACCTCTGCTTTGGTTCAAGGCCTTTCTGTGAGTAACAGCACAATTAAACCTCATGCACATTGCAGCTAAAAAAAATGCCTGTTTTACATCCTTTTGACGTTTTTTTCTGCCTTTAAATGCACCTCCATGTTTGCCTATGAGTCCATGCACACATACTGTAGGTTTAGAGGCAGGATCATTTAGAGGCAGAAAAAAACATCACTTGACTGTTCAGATAGGAGTGTTTGGCAGAAAAAACATGTAAAATGCACATAAACACTGGCATTTATGCACATTTGCCCTTTAATACATTGTAATGGCCAGAATACATTCATATTCTGGCCAACAGAATGCTTTAACAGCAAATGTGTAAACTTGCACAAACGCCAGTGAAAAGTTTGACTTTTGCTGCGTTTTTCATTTGCTTTCCTCCTGTAAGTTGAAAATGTGTCCAAAGCAGCACAGTGTGCATGAAGCCTAAGTGCTGTGCAGGATTAAGCAGTGATGGAGTTACTCCGCAACTGCACAGCTCTTGCAGCAGTGATGTTGCGTTAATCCATACCAGTGTATAAAACAATAGTCTCCCAAAACCAAAACTGCTTAAGCTCAGTTCACATATATACGGCCATGCGGGCCGCGTTTTGCATGGGCACGTGAGCCCATTCATTTGAATGGACTCCCGTGCCCGTGACACGCAGAGAAGAAGTCCCTGCACTTCTTCCTAAAACACAGCCCGCATGGGAACCTCGGTTCCCAGTACGATTGCGTTTTCCAGTGCGGGAGGCATGCCATTAGAAGTAATGGCACGCCGCCCGCGGGGTCCGCATTTCTCTGTGCAGGTGGTGCGGCTTCACAGATTTTTGTGCGAATCCGCAGCGGCACCACCCGCACAGATGTGAACCTAGCCTGAAGTAGAAGTATACCCAGAGCTATTCCTATGGATCACAGGAGTGCAGTTTGCTATACACTCCTGTGATTCATTTTCATCACTAAACCAGTCCAGGCTCTGAAACGATCCCAATAAAATAGTGGGGATCCACCCAGATGCCTGGACTGGCAGCTGGCTCAACCACTCAGTGATCTGCCTTGAGTCTGAGCCAGGCCCTCGCATCCCCTCCACAACCCAGCGCACCAGTGAGTGCTGGAGGGGCAGAGCAGAGAGCTGGTGACTGGCAGTCATGCTTTGTGCTCAGAGCGGAGGGGAGAACAGGGTGATCAGCAGTGTTTAAATATAAATAAACAGCGCAAATTTAGATCATTAATCAATATAATAAATCATATAAAATAAGTGCATAAATTATTCGTGTTTCCCCTTAATATTAAACAAAAACACCCAAAAGTCCATGTGCTGAAGACATAATTGAATTGTAGAAGTAAAAATGCAAATAAAAATAAAAATAAAAGTGCCAACTTCTTTTCTTCAAAAAATACTTTCACCTTCCACCAGTGCACACACCAACATCGAATACACTCACCAGAACTTGGTGAGTAAAAGACCTTTAAGGAATTTTTAGGGATCCTAAACCCTCTTTGGTGCCACGCTAGGGAAAATCTTCACCCTCCGAATAGACTCCACCATCCAACCAAAAGAAAAAAAACTCACATAGCATAATATTGTCACACAATAGTAACTTTTTCCAAATGGAGATTAAGGCCACTCACATGTTA